AATTCATGAGGCTACCATAAGTTGGCAGGCAACTTGAAGGCATGCACACACTTATACACAGAGTAATAGATGGCTTGTGCCTTTAAAACAGTAGTTAATATTGTCTTTCCAGGTGGCAATACCTGTTATTTCCCCAATAGGTAGACTGGTGAGAGCAGGAGCACAATGGGACTGTGTTACCCAGTCAATTTTCCAGTTTGTTTCACCCAATTTCCTGAAATCAAATTCTGAAAAGGTAATTGGGTACTTGCTATGCATTAATAATCAGCCAAATGACTGAAAGAGTTTAGTTAGCTCCAAGGAGAAAAACAACAACACACTATTTTAAAGCCCACCACATTTAATCATCGCTCTTCCAGCTCACATCTCTGGCCACAATCCAGCCGGAATGAAACCTTTGTAATCCTATTGGCTTCCATGGCAAAAGAGTTGGAATGTTACATTAAAATTAACTGTCCCGCTTGAGAGAATGGGCCATTAGGGCATTTTAACGCTGTCCGTTGTTCTGTATAAAGAGCGAAATTCTGTCAAAATGATACTAGAAATCTAACTTTGTGATGGGACAGGATTAGATTTAATTGACTAAACAAGTGGAATAAAAAAAATTAATCAAATAAAAAGAGAGCTCCAGGTGATTTTTAAAATAAAAAATACTCATTTTTTTAGCATTTGGAAGGGATTTTCAAGACCATCTAATCCAACTCCATAGTCGCACAGGAAATCCAGAACCAGAATATCCACAATAGGTGCCTGTCTAACCCTTGGTTGAAATCTTCCATTAAGATAAGGATCTTTAAAGAACTCTAAATAGCATCTCAGTACATTCAGCTCACTTTGAATCTGAGGTCCTTCCACACTACCAAATTATAGTCCGATGTTCCACTTTAACTGCCGTGGCAACCTCCTGTGGAATCCTGGGATGTGCAGTTTAGAAAGTGGGATATAGAATTCTCAGCCAAAGAGTTCTCTACTGTCACCCAAACTACAAATCCCCAGACTCTGTGGCAATTAAAGTGGAATATAGCCTTATAATTGTGTTGTGTGAAAAGGCCCTTTAACAGGATAAAATGACTCTGTCATACTTGGAACGGCTTACCGTTGTTGTAGATACTTAATTGTAGATAGTTGTAGAGCCAGTGTGTTATAGTGGTTTGAATGTAGGACTATGACTCTGGAGACCAGGGTTCGAATCACAGCTCAGCCATGTAAACCCACTTGAGTGACTTTGTGCAAGTCGCATGCTCTCAACCTCAGAGGATGGCAATGGCAAATACCCTCTGAAGAAACTTACCAAGAAAACTCCATGATAGGTTCACCTTTGGGTCTCCATAAGTTGGAAACAGCTTGAAGGCACACAACAACAACAACAACAGATACTCATCATACACTTCATCTAAAGATAAAAAAGATTATGCTCCCACCCCTTCTCTGTCCCTCTTAGAAATAAGTAAGCCAGTGAAACTTTGAAAGCTTGCAACATGTATATTGTGCATTTTGGTTGGCCAATAAAGATATCACTGTTTGGTGGATTTTTTATTGGATTTGCTATGGCCAACACAGCTACACCTGGATGTCCTCTTAGAAATAATTATCGAAAAGGTTCTTGGGCCACCTCTTGGGCTGATGCAGAAAACAAAATACAAAAGGCCAGGAAGATGCTTGTTCTTTCTGCAACTGGTTGACTGAACTCAGCTGCTGCCTGTGTGCCCCTTCTCCTCCTGCCCTGGCCACTGAATGGCCGTGGAGAGGGGCACCCAGTCTGAGGACAGAGAGATGACCTGCGGAGAGAACTGTGGCAGATGAAGGTCCTGAATTCAGAGGTGCCATAACAAACTACACTTCCCAGGATTGCATAGCACTGAGTCACGGCAGTTAAAGTGAGGTCAAATGGGATTATTTCTGTAGTGTGGATGCAGCCCGAGTCCATTGATTTTGTGAAGTCGAAGGCTTTCATGGCTGGCATCCACAGGTTTTTGTGGG